TATTGGTGTTAAGGGTATTGTTTGGGATCACTTAAAAATTCAGTTCCCTTAAAAGGTACGTTAAGGGACCCTCTAATGCAACGTTTGCAGTGGCCGATTCAAAACGGTACTCTTGATACCTTTATCTGATCTATAATGTGGAAGAGATTGTCGTTTTCTAGGTTGGAAAAGTGAACAAATCTGATAGTTTTGATATGTTTTTTTTGCAGTATAATTCCGCAAGTATTTTTTTTTAGAGAAACTAAACATGAAACTAATCTGTATTCTAAATTATTGAAATCTTATTCATATTTTATCAGATAAAGGTTTCAAGTGGTTATTGTCACACTAGATTACGCTTACAATCTCTTTAAGTTAAAACTAATTGAGGAAATGAGTTAGAATTTAGCTTAATATTTTTTCTATCATTATCAGATTTACGATAGTAAGATAGTAAGATAGTAAGATAGTAAGATAGTAAGATAGTAGGATAGTAAGATAGTAGGATAGTAGGATAGTAAGATAGTAAGATAGTAAGACAGTAATCTAATAAGATACTAAGCTAGTAAGATAGTAAGATAGTAAGATAGTAAGATGGCAAGATAAATAATATAGCAACATAGGAAGATGCCAGAAAAAGAAGGATTAAAAAGTCATGTTCCAATGTTTAATGTGCTCACTCTGTATATCCTGGTTTTAAAAGAAGGGTTCGAACAAGTCTTGATAATTTTCTAAAATAATCTTGCTAATTGTTTCATTGCGTTTGGACGTCATTAAAAGGGACTGTATCCGTAATTTCAAGTGACCCTCCAGGTAAATATGGCAATGCGTGATTTACAACGGTATCCTTGAAACTTTATTCTGATAAAAAATGTGGAAGATATCGTCGTTTTCCAGACTCAAGAAGTGTTTATTTCTCTGAGCTTCTCCATTACTTCTTATAAGCAAGATATGCGCGAGTCACTTATGCAGAGAAATCACGTACAAATGAATTAAACAGTTTAAAGAAACAAAAAGTTTGATATCTAATTTAGGCAAAGTTTTCAAGGGTACCGTTGTAAATCGAACATTGCCACCTTTTCATGGAGGATTACTTAAATATTTTGATTATGTTTTTGGTATATTATCAGCATTACGAGTGTACTACGCGGAGAGAACGATTGAAAAGTCGTAATTTTATAACAATGTTTACAGGGGCATAGTGTATGGTTGAAAGATTACGCATTACGAGTGTACGACGCGGAGAGAACGATTGAAAAGTCGTAATTTTATAACAATGTTTACAGGGACATAGTGTATGGTTGAAAGATTGCACAGTCTTTAAAGAACAAGTCTTTATAAATTTCTAAAATAATCTTTTTAATTAATGACTGCGTCTTGACGTCACTACAAAATGTAAATTCAAACTGAGTCATCATGTTATTTGTCGCATTCATTCTTTTTATGTGTGTATCTAGTAAATGTCGTACTCTTAAAACGCTATCAGACTCGTATCAGCCCAGGTATAACTCGTATAACTATCAATGTCAAACCAATGGACACAATCTCATAGGCTCTAATGTCAACAAGGACATAAGCACGTAACTATCAATGCCAAACCAATGGGCACAATCTCATAAGCTTCATGAACAAGCTCCAAACTATCAATGCCAAACCATTGGGCACAATCTTATCAGCTTGTATGTTTCAACGTGGAACGAATTACTTCTCTCACCGTAATCAAAGCGGAGTATATTCCAACTAATGTGTATTTAGAAATCAATGTTAAGGGTTAAGTTAATATACATATTTACAAGATTTGGCAGATATAAACACGTAGTTAAGCTAATCACAATATGTAGCTAATCTAGTCGCATTAAACGTTTAGCGTAGTTAATTATAAGCTCAGTTAGACAGACAACGTACAACGTAATTTATCTAGGTTTGTTCAACTGTATTTATTACATGTAAAATATATTGGGTTGAATGTCCTTTAACGTGCGTCCTCAATCCCTGAAAGCACACTAAAATAGAATAATGGAGCTCACGGGATTTAAAGTTCTCAAGCTTTCAAGTAAAAATCGATGAGAATTTTGCCGTTTACTTCTTAAAAATCAAAATTAACAACAAGTGCTCGTTTTGCTAAAATGTACATGTAAAGGGCTACAGAAAAGCAAAAGTGATTTAGAGCGGTAAAATCAAAGCTGGAGGCGTTGCGACACTTCAAAGTCAACCCTGTCTTAAGATTGATGAGACTTTAATGAGCAGGCTGAACCTATATAAATTATAGTGCATCCTTATAAATTGCGTCATGATTGTGTCCAAATAACAGTTTTAAAAGTGCGTCCTTTTTTGCCCAAAAGAAGGTTGAATATTATTTGCAGCAGATTTTACAGACACTTAAGTCCCATTTCCAAATAGTTTGTCAAAAGTACAATTTTTGTTTAGTTTTGAACTCCTAAGGTTTGCAGGAGGAGCAGGTTTTAATGTTGATCATCTGATTTAATCAGATGGAAAAGTGAGATATAAATGAAAGCTATGATGTATTATGCATTCATGTCTTTGATTAATTTATTGATTTTAATTGGCTTGAAGGAGACCAGATTTTTATCTTACAATCATTCAATATAGTATTATTTACAATGAGCTTTGGTATTCGGCTTTACTTGGAATTTTTGTCAAGTTATAAAGATTCCTTAACATATTCCCCCCTCCTCCCTCCCTAGCTTTATAATAAAAGATTAGGACAAGCTGACTTTTGTAAACTATCATTTCATGTTTAAAGTATACGAGATAAGATCTTTCTTTAAACCAGCTTCAATCTTTAACTTCAATAAAGGGGGTCACAACAATAACATCAGTTTCAATATATTTATCACTAAAGCAAATAATATTTTTTAAACAAATATTTTTAAAATTCCACGGTTATATATATATTCGTTATATGCTAGCCAAAGGCTGTATAACATTGGCTGACTTTTTTTGGGAACCCATGGTTATACACCGGGGGTGACATTGGCTTAAAAAAAATATGGAATTTTTAAAAAATTACATGGGCAACCTCGGGTACTGCTTAAATCTTGATTTAAGACCAAACGCGGGTAACTATGAGTATCCTGGGTAACGCACTTCAGCTAGTTTTGCATAGTTATATAAATAAACAAACACTTTAATATGACTCCTTTTTAATCTTTTTGACAATGGGAAAAATTATGACCACCATTTTACTTCCCAAAAACTTTTAAAAACAAAGAAAAATTCGCATTTTATGGTTTAAAAATAATTGTTCAGAATCTCAACCAAAATAATTGTCCCATAATTCCGATTTTTAATCAATTGTCCGGTGTTTCCGATGTAAGTGTACTTTCAAAATTAAAATTTCACTACACAATCACGTGCAGTCGTGGTACATTTGAATTTCCGACCGGGTCAACCTTTCCGGTCCAAGTTTTTACTGTATCGCCGGGACATTGGGTAAATAAAGCAGACACTTAATAGGACTAGCCCATGACTAGCCGGTGCAACAAGGTTGACGCGGTCAGACTTTAGGTTGAATTTACTTTTACTTAAGAGTCAGGTGTGCGTGCAATGTTTACAAAAAATCCATACAATTTTTATAAAGATTGCAACAGCATGAAACAATTTTCAGAAACATTTCTGAAAAAATGATTGACGGAATATCATGTGAACCTCCATTTACAGTGTGGCATGTCATATTCACAACGGTGTTCATGAAACCGTTATCTGAGTAATAATAAACACAAGATGTTTTTTTCCGAAAGTTTCCTCCATTGTTTCTGAAACAGAAATTGGCAAGTCATTTTTCTTTATTTATGCATAATGCAGAGATGTTTATTTATTTCTGTTTTAAATTTGTCATTTTTATTCTGTAATTTTCTTGTTTTACTAAGTAAAAGTATGCAGTCAAAACAAAAACAAACAAAATGTTAACAGACGAAAATCTTATGGATTACGCTTTCTCAGTAGGTATCACTATACTAAATCAAAGAATTATTTAAAAAGACGATATCGAATTCGTGTCACTGAATTCACATGTTTATTTAGACACCCTGTATATATATATATGTATATATATATATATATATATATATATATACATATTTATATATTATTTGATGTACTGTTTGTACTATATATATAATGTATGCATTAAATTCAATTGACATGTTCAATTGACTAGTTACAGTCCGTCCAAAAACTGTATTTTGTTAAACACAATCAGTTCTTGTTTACAAACTAAAACTTTGAATTATAATCAAAGAGAATAGAATATATATTAGAGGGGAATTTAGAGAATCTCTCAGTATGAATTTTTTCCGTCCCATTCAGCCTGAAAGGGAGTTCAAAGTGTACAAATCATGTAAATGTTCACAAATTATATGTAGTAGAGTACATTAATACAGTATGTTCCCAAGACTATCCATTTCAATCTCGAATTTTTTAAAGCTGTTAAATAAACTTTATAATGAATAAGGTGAATAAAAAACATCATTTGATTTATAGTTATAACGGAAAATCATCGTTTGTAAAGTGAAAGGCATAGAGTCTATGTGAAATGATCATTGGTCAATTATGAAACCAGCCTATTTCATAATTTTGTTTTCTTTTAATATTAAAATTAGATTTTCTATAAAATGATATTCCAGGGCCCAAAAGGTTATATAGCGCAAATATGTGAAGTACACCTGCAGTATGGAAACAGTACAACAAAGTGGCCGTTTTACACTTTTTTCTAGTAAATTCCCCTCTAATATATATTCTGTTCTCTTTGATTAGAAGGGATATTCTCACTTATCTATCTAAAAATTGAGAGCCGGGATACCGGAGGTTTAAAGGATATGCACTTTATGAGAATACATCAAAACAGCTCAATTTTCAGTAAGAAAAATAAGGATTTTCCCGTAATCATGATCAAAGGTTTTGAGGATACTTTAGTGAATCAGAAATGCCACTTAAAAAATTGAAGACTAATTAAAGACTTTTGCCTACAATCCCTTTAATTTAAATTTATATTTCAGATTCAGGATTAATGGCAGTTTGTGACAAGCAATAAAGAGCTGTAAATATTAAATCCAAACTTCACTAGAAAAAAGGACGTCATACGTCATTCCAGTATGGGCTGAGCAAAGTGAATGAAACTGTACTGTACTGTTTAAAAGATAATAGTTTTTGAATGAAAATGTTAATGTTTAGCGTGATACTACTTATTTTCTCTCTTCATCTAGGTAATACAAGATTTTATTTTCAACATTTTATTATTTAGATATTATTTAATTTTAGCTGTTAATTTGATTTGAATTTTTCATATTTAGAGCAAAAAATGAAATATAGTGGTGTTTGTATACAGTATGCACTATTCCGTATATATATTAGCAAAATTAGGAAACCAAATACAGGGTGTCCTAATAAACATGAAAATTAAAAGACTTGAAAGTCGTCTTTGATTTCTGATATTCAATGCATGGCAAAGAAAGTGCTAAGACGAGGCTGTACGTCTGACGAGATTATCATAAAGTGTATCTTAAAAATTAACGAAGATATTAGATATTAAGACAATTTTAATTATTAAATAAATTGAAGTTTGTACAAATTTTGCAATATCTCCGTCAATTTTGAAGAACAAAAATGGTAGAACCCCTATTTAAATCTCAAGACCACGGGTTTTCGATATTAGATGTTTTAGCTGGAGTACTGCAATAATACTGAAAAAATGCCGCTCGGAGAAAAGACGATATAAAAGTAGTCACTGAATTCTCCTGCTTATAATTTATACATGTGTATAAGCTAAGCTTGGAACTTTTTATTGAACATCTCTTTCTTTTGTTTTCCTACGGATTAAGTAAATTCTTTTTTCATACAGGGTGTCCCATTAATTGACGAAATGGAAATTTTTTTTGTTACGAATTAGCATTGTAATATTATACTACAATTACGTCTGCTAGAGTATATTTAATGTAAATGGGTAAAAGGCTGTCTTGTTATTCTAAAAAACGTTGTATGATTGTGCCTGTAACATTTTTGCAAGATGAACAAAGAAGAGGGACCATTATACTTTACATGTGTACATATATATAATATGCTTTAGCTCATTTCAACTGGAATATTTTATCATCTTTTTTAAAGCATTTTTAAAAGAAATGCACAAGACAAAAATCTGAATTCAAATCGAGAAATTGAAAAGATTTTCCACATCCATTTTATAAAAATTTTCACGTCTCAATCTTTGTGGGCCTCCCTGTAAATTTTGATAATGCCATGTTTTATCTACTCAGCTGTCAAAGTTGTGAGGTATTTATAGATATATTAAATATTTAAACTGGTTTAACTAATCCTCAAGGAAAAAATTGTTTCATACTTCAAAAACACATTAAACCAAATCTACTTAGAAGGTGCAGGTTTGAGATAAGCCTTAGTTTTGTTTTTAAAAAATCAGGAGATAATGTAAACCAAATCAAAAAACTATTTGATGTTTGAATATAGTGCAGGATGAAAAAAATTTAGGACATTAAGAGTTAAATAATTACATTTTGTTCAGTGTCTAGAGGGTATTGTTTCAAGAATAAATAATAAATGATTAATAATAATAATAAAACTCTTCGCTAATTTATATATATTCTTCGCTAATGTATATCTGGTCAAGCGGCTGAACCAATTTTGTTGAAATTTTGTTACCGGGAACCAATGGCTACCCGGCCCGGGGGTTACACAGACTAAAAAGCGCGGGTAAACAGCGGGAGTAATTGTGATTAACTTGGGCAATGCCGGGCAGTTCAGTTGGTATGCAATAAGTTTACTTAAAACATATGTCACAACAAACTTTTAAGAATCATGATTAAAAAGTTGATGATAAGATTTTTGATTGGATCTTATGTTAATTCAACGCCTATCTATTTATTTAACTTCTCAAAGTCAGATTTAGAGAAGAGTTTCCAACCGGAATTCCGTTGCGCAGAATTGCGCTATAATTGCGAACAAGGAAGCAATTAAATATTCGCGGAATTGTGCGCAACGGAATTGCTTTCTCATCTAAAAATCAATAATTTTAATTGTGAGTTACAAATTATGCAGCAGCAGACACAAGAATAGAAATATCTCTGAAGATTTTTAAAAATTGCTTGTTTCAACAGTTTTCAAATTTTAAAGTTTCTTATGGTTAAACTAGTAGTTAACAACTTAATATGATACATTTTTCATTTGTTAACATTGGATGAACATTAAAATGGATTTTTTTTGGGTTAACATTGTAAAGTTCGTTTAATCAAAATTAGATAGCTTGCTACAGTGAGAACCAGGAAACTATATGGTACAGAAAGAAAACATTACAGTGTATTTGTTTAATTGGTAACTTATTAATTAACTTATTCAGTTAAATGGGTCTGCTTGAGTCTAAAATGTCGTCTTCTGGTTATCATGCTGCGTATGAATATAATAAAATAAAAGATTTGGTTTAAATTCAATTTTCTTAGCATTTGAGACCGAAATGTTAGTGAAGTTCAGTTTATTGTATGCCACTACCATAAGTTTTAATGGAATATTTTTTGTTGTTAAAGGAATTGCGCAATAACTAATTGCATATTTGCGTGCCATAAGGTTTAAATTGAATACTATTAAAAAATTGAAACACAAATGCATTAAAGTTTGACGGAATAACGCGCAATTCCGTTGCGTTTATTGTGCGCAATTATTACAGAATTGCGCGCAAGTAAAATCCACTTGCGTTGGAAACCCAACCCAATTTTAAATTTATAGTTTAATTATATTGATAGCAAGGACTGAAACCTAATCATTTCGTATTCCTCAAACTTGCTGAACCTTTTTAGTTATATACGTTTGGTTTTTTATAAATTAACAAATAAATGATTGTTTCAAATATTTAATAAGTACAAAGTAATTAAAAAAAAACTAGAACACATAAAATGATTTTACTTTAGAGGAGAAGGTTTTCAAGGGTAAATAGAAGTTTAGAAGTTTTAGCCTACTAAACATCATTGTTTTGTGTTAAAAAGTGCTTCTAGTAGGAACAAAACCCACTAATAGGGGGGGGGGGGGTCGAGGATAAAACATTTCTTTGAAAAATTCCGTTTTAACCTTCAAAATTAGGCATAATATTCGAAAATGTGCTCGATTTCATTTCGATAGATATTAATTGCGTTTTCACCCACTAAACGTCGTTTTATTCTACTACAATGTGTGTCTGGTAGGTACAAATACAATGTCCATAAATAAGGGGGTCGTCGTTGAAATATTTTGCTCTTTAAATTCCGGTTTTTTCAAAATGTACTCGAAATGTAGTCGGTCCCATTTTAAAAGATTTTTTCAAAAATTTAAAATCTTTTAGTTTTAAAAATCCTCAATTTTATCATAGAAAATGTGCAATTTATTCTATTCTGTCGAATGAAACGTAAAAATAAAATTATAATTTGAATTTCTAAAAAATGTTTGGAAAAGAGACCGAGCATATTTTCAAATATTAGGGCCACCTTTGAAGGTTAAGACGGGATTTTAGAGAAAACTGTTTTATCAACGACCCCCCAACCCATTTGTGGGTAATGGACCTCCTAAAAGCACTTTTTAACACAATACAATGATGTTTAGTAGGCTAAAAAGCCTAAGTACACTTTTTTTCAGAGACACCTTGTAGTATTTTCTATTATATTATATATATTTTATACCTCTATATACCATAAATATATACGTAGGTCTGGGAGAATGGAATATGAACGAACGTAAGTCTTGATTTGCTTGGTTTTCAATTAAACGCATGAAAATAAACATTAAAAATTAAATTGAGATATTTAGATTATAAAACTTGTTTTGCTGAGTCACTTTTTTGGAATTTTTCAATTAAAGCATGAAAATAATAATTGAAAATTACAATTTAGATACTTAACTTTTACGTTAACAATTATTTTAACTTTGATAATTTAACAGTTTGGTCCTTATCCCATGTGACCTAATACACATAATTTTTTACTTTTTCTCTTTTTCTACTTTTTTGTCAGCATATGTGGTTTAAATGGAAAAAATACTAAAAACAAAAGCCAAAAGTTTAAAGATTGAATTCAAACAGAAGAAACAAACAGCATCTCTTTTAGTTTGTAGTAAGCTTGAGACTAATGAATAATTGCCTTTGATTTAATTTGATTTAATTTGATTAAATTTGATTTAATTTGATTCAATTTGATTAAATTTGATTTAATTTGATTAAATTTGATTTAATTTGATTCAATTTGATTTAATTTGATTTACTTTATTTAATTTGATTTAGTTTGATTTAGTTTGATTTAATTTGATTTAATTTGATTTAATTTGATATAATTTGATTTATTTTGATTTAATTTTATTTAATTTGATTTAATTTGATTTATTTTGATTTATTTTGATTTCTTTTGATTTAATTTGATTTAATTTTATTTAATTTAATTTAAGTTGTGAAGCTAACTCTGCAACTATGCTTATAAATTAAAAAAAAATTTCAATCTTTGTTTAAGCAAAAATTAAAGAGCAAAGAAAAGGAAGTAAGTTGACAGAATCGACCTCTGTGATACTTATTAGGATAGAAAAATGACGATATCTTCTTCATTCTTACTCAGACTTTTAAACGGAGTTCTCCGCTTAAATTACTAAAATCTAAAAGATTCTTTTTAATGCTTTGTGAACATTGCTCTATATAACTATATTTGTCATTTTTTAAAGTTCTTTTATTAATTATTTTTAAAAAATTTATTAAGTGGATGGTGACTTACGAGGGGGCAAGAGTATGCAGTTTAAAAATATGGTGAATACTGCAGATTATCAGGTTTTTATATTTACAGTTTATTTACAGTTTATTTACAGTTCATTTACAGTTCATTTACAGTTTTACAGTACATTTACAGTTCATTTACAGTTCATTTACAGCACATTTACAGTTCATTTACAGCACATTTACAGTTCATTTACGGTTCATTTACAGTTCATTTACAGTACATTTACAGTACATTTACAGTTCATTTACAATTTATTTACACCAAATTTACAGTACATTTACAGTTCATTTACAGTAAAATTTACAGTTCATTTACAGTTCATTCACAGTTCATTTACAGTACCATTTACAGTTCATTTACAGTAGATTTACAGTTCATTTACGGTTCATTTACAGTTCATTTACAGTTCATTTACAGTACATTTACAGTTCATTCACAGTACATTTACAGTACATTTACAGTACATTTGTAGTTCATTTACAGCACATTTACAGTACATTTACAATACATTAAAAGCGGAAGGTTTGAAGTAACAAAAAGACAAATAATCTTGAGCATAAATTTAAACAGAAATCACGGTTCACTTAAGATATCTAATAATACAAGATAATTTGATTGATTTGTATGATATATATATATATATATATATATATATATATATATATATATATATATATATATCATGAAGCCGATTTTGCATAATTTCATACATTTTAAAAATGCATTGCCAATCCTATATTGCAAGCTAAATTTTTCAAACCTTTTTTTGTTTTGTTTCTGGTTACATTGTTTGGCATTGTTATCAATACAAAAAACTGGACTTGGTTATATCAAATGTTTTTTAAAATCATAATCAAGACTTTAGTAATATTTTTTTTTATGATTATAATTAATAAACTTTTCTTTTATTAAAGATATTTAAATATATTATAGACATGAAAAAAATTCAGTAGTAAAAAGCCAAAATTGAATGGAATAACAAAGCATTGTTGCATACAAACTATATTTACATTATAACGATACAAACGATACTAACTAAATTTGATCTAAATACATACGAAATTTGCCTGGGGCAAATATATTTCCATTTGACTCTTCTGATCAGACGCTTTGTGCTAACTGTCGAGTCTTGTGGGATCACGGGGATAGGATGGCCAATAAATGCCGTTTCATTCCTTTTCCAGAGATGCTGCTCTGATTCTGGTTGATGCTCTGCTCACTCTTGATGTACTCCTTGTCCTCATTGATGGAGGGCCCATTGGCTGAGGAGTTTTCTCCCATGCTTCACTGTACGTAGATCTCATGGTTTTCATGACTGAGGAACCTGATTTCATTAATATTCTGGGCACTAAAGGCACTCCTGGACGTGTCCTGGTCCTTGGTATCCTCAGTGTCCTGGGTCCTGCAGAGAGGGATCAAACTTTTCTTCTGTTTTGCTTACTCTTCTGTAATGTTGTTTCTTCAACAGGATCAGGACCAAAGATACTGATTTTTTGCCACATTTATCTAATTCCTACATTGTTGCAGTCTGGTGGAGTAAACCTTTTATATTTTAAACTTAGATTTTTTAATCTAACATAATTTATAGTTTGAATTATTGGTTTGCATAGATAAAGCGATTAATATATTTGAGTTTGTGGCAAAACTTAGTTCCTTTCTCATTTTCTAAAATGACCTGAGGGAAGGCCTAAACTGAACAATTTTAACTCAAAAAACATGTCGGAAATTTTTTTTCAATTTAAACTAAATTTTCAGTGTAAATCTGAGAACGATATTTATAATAAGAAATAAATATAATAAATAATAAATATATAATGTGAAGGATTCGCAAAATAGACGATGACAATTGAAGTTTTAATCTAAAGAAAAATATTTTTAGTTATCAATGGATCTACTAGCAAACTATCCTGCAGGATACAACGTTATGCCAGGTACTTATTTTAATCAATTAATCAATTAAAAATTAGTCAATTAATCAATTAATGAATTAATCAATAAATCAATAAATCAATAAATCAATAAATCAATAAATCAATAAATCAATAAATCAATAAATCAATAAATCAATTAATCGATTAATCAATTAATCAAATAATGAATTAATCAATTAATCAATTAATTAATTAATCAATCAATCAATAAATCAATTAATCAATTAATCAATTAATCAATTAATCAATTAATCAATTAATCAATTAATCAATTAATCAATTAATTAATCAATCAATCAATCAGTAAATCAATTAATCAATCAATCAATCAATCAATTAATCAATCAATCAATCAATAAATCAATTAATCAATTTTATTTTCAGTTTCCAACCCACATGATGTGCTCAACGTTAGTCTTCAGCTGGCACTTTACCATATAGTTGAATNCCCCCCCCATCAAACCAATATTTTTTTGGCAGGATTTCACAGTTTGGTAAAGATTGTTAGAATAAAGAACAAAACGTAATGAAATTCAAACAGAAGAAACTGAGCGCAATCGCATACATAATATGCAAAATTTTGACACTGATTTTTTTGCATAAGATCAAAATGTTTGATACTGATATTAGCTTAAAAAAGCAAGCTATGATTTGTTGCAAAAATGATTTTATTTAGTTTTCTTTTTCAGCTTCAAACAATGATTATATTTAAAAGTAATTATATTTTCACACTTATTTCAAGAACAATGATCCCTGGTGTATAATATTACATTTTTTATCAGTAATATTTTTATTCAATCAATCAATCTGTAAAGACAGGGTTGATTGAAGACCACCTTTTTGACGTTTTTTAAATTTTCAAATTGATTTGGCATAAAAAGCAACAAATTTGAAACCTCTATGGAACAGTTAATGTAAGAATAAATTCTGTAAAGTCCTCTAGCTCTGAAGTTACATCTTTAACAACCTTTACATAGTTTGCATCCTAATTATAGGACATCCTTTACATAGTTCTATAGAAAATCATCTACATTTTCTCTTTCTGCAAGACACCTTGTATTTATAATCTGCAAGACAACCTGTACATATATTCTGCAGGACACCCTGTATATAGATTCAGCAGAACACCCTGTAGATATATTCTGCAAGACACCCTGTATATAAATTCTGTAGGACACCCTGCATAGATACATTTTGCAGAACACCCTGTACATATGTTCTGCAAGACACTCTTTAGGTATATTCTGCAGGACAACCTCTAGATATGTTCTGTAGGACACCCTGTAGTTAAATTCTTCGGAAACCCCTGATCTATGTATTCTGCAGAGACAGGGTGATTTAGTAAGTAAGTAAATAAATAAGTAATTAAGTAAGTAAGTAAGTAAGTAAGTAAGTAAGTAAGTAAGTAAGTAAGTAAGTAAGTAAGTAAGTAAGTAAGTAAGTAAGTAAGTAACTAAGTAAGTATGTAAGTAAGTAAGTAAGTAATTAATTAAGTAAGTAAGTAAGTAATTAAGTAAGTAAGTAAGTAAGTAAGTAAGTAAGTAAGTAAGTAAGTAAGTAAGTAAGTAAGTAAGTAAGTAAGTAAGTAAGTAAGTAAGTAAGTAAGTAAAGTAAGTAAGTAAGTAAGTAAGTAAGTAAGTAAGTAAGTAAGTAAGTAAGTAAGTACGTAAGTAAGATTTATTAAAGATAAATCAAAATCATAGAAGCATATCATAATATGAATAACATTTTCATAAGATAAGAATATAATTGAATATATTATGTTTTATATCACAAAATAAGGTTAAATAAGGAGTTTAATTTTCTCAGCATATCAGGAATACCAGATTTTTATATTTCTCCGTTCTAGCATATAGTTGACATTAAATAGTTTAAAGTTCCGTAGCGTCCGATCGGCTTTTAATCAATGGATAACGGAATGGCACATCACGGGATATCGATTAAACTAATCAGTGGATATATCGAGATCATGCTTGATTTAGATATCCACAGTACAAGATTTTCCACCTCTGGATCCTATATTCTATTCAATAAATTTCTCTGAACTCAATTATAATTATTTGATATCTATAATCTATAATCTGTAAGTGCAAAGTACCAAAGTACGAGTGTGAAGGATCTTTAATCTCTTTAATCTGACACATCGTGTAGCCATGAGCATTATTTGATTTCACTCTTGGTTTAGATATTAATAAACAAGTTTAACACAAATAATTCCTGTTGCTAGCCTTTTTTATTCAAACTAAAGTGGAATTATTGTCGTCTTCTTTCCTTTCTTTTATTCTTTAATTGTCGGAGAGCTGGACATTGTGATCTTGTCAGGTCACATTTATTGCATAACATGTTTTGGGTCGACTCTACACTGGGTAGTCCAGACTGGGCGGTACGACTGAATGCATAAACACTATACAGTACATATGGCACCGGCTCGGATCAAGCAACTTTTAGGGTGGGGGGAACTTTTGTGTGGAGTATCCTTAACCATTTATGCTTTATCTTGATACGAGATGCGAGCACTTTTAAATGTGAAAATCAATTATTGATCTCTTCATTTTAGTTATCCCTGCAGATCTAACAAAAGGAATTAAATTTATCCGTAAGTCTGCATTAGATAGAGATCAATGTCTGATCCCGAGATTAACAATACAAGTTCTGACTTTAGGGCACATTTGTATCAGCAAATCATAAATTGGAAATTAATTGCCGATATTTTAATATTAGAAGACGATAATAATCACTCAGCTATAACAATTTGTAACCATAAATATATAAAAGAGATTTACTGTTAATTCATAACTAGGATTCCCAGTGGAATGGCAAAAATCCTTACGCATCACGACATCACTTCTTTTCAGCTGTAGTTTACAGCTGTATTGTTCAGCTGTAGTTTTCGCTGTAGTTTTCAGCTGTAGTGTTCAGCTGTAGTTTTCAGCTGTAGTTTTCAGTTGTAGTTTCCAGCTGTAGTTTTCAGCTGTAGTGTTCAGCTGTAGTTTTCAGTTGTAGTTTTCAGCTGTAGTGTTCAGCTGTAGTTTTCAGCTGTAGCTTTCAGCTGCAGTGTTCAGCTGTAGTTTTCAGCTGTACTGTTCAGCTGTAGTGTTCAGATGTATTGTTCAGCTGTAGTTTTCAGTGTAGTTTTCAGCTGTAGTGTTCAGCTGTAGTGTTCAGCTGTAGTTTTCAGCTGTAGTTTTCATCAGTAATTTTCAGCCCTAGTTTTCAGCGGTAGTTTTTTAAAACTAATCATATTTAAGAATGAAAGAGCCCAGACGTTAACAACTAACTGCGAAATAATTACAAAATGGCACGATGTATTCCTAATGTGGGACCCGTCAGGTACAATTTCAAAAAGCAAAAAAATAAATTTTCAGAGAAAAAAATATCATAAAAGTCTAAATTAATAAAATAGAATTGAAGATAGATAAAATCATAAAGCAAATAAATTGTAAACCAGCTCTAAGTGGGAGCTGTAATGGTGGGCAACCTTATTTTTAAACTGTTTAATAACAAATCAAATATTGGCTCTGAAATGATGCGTGCTCAAATATTAAAAGTTGCAAAATTTCTACACTGAAAAGACCTGGTTAAAAAAATTGACCGATCGTTAGTTTCTTTAAACCCCAAACTGATTCGCATCAAATTAACCGGCAGAGTTAACATTCTTCAGTATGAAAAGAAAACTTTGTTCAGTAATGATCGTTTAAAGTTCAGAGATTTTTCGTAAAATGAAAGAATATAGTGTAGAAGCAATCCGATTCTGTGAAAAAAAGATCAAAGATTTTTTTGCAAAAACTATTTTGATTCTAACCTTGTCTCGTTATTCCTGAAAAGAAGGATTTTTTTTGCATCTTTAAACTTTTTTTCTAGGAACGATATCGTAGCATTATTTTAACAGTTTTCAAGTAAAAAAAAAGACGTTATCTACCACATTTTTGATCGAATTCATGTTTCAAGGCCCAAGGATACCGTTATTTTAAAAGAATTTGAACTATTGCTCCATAATTGTTGAGTCGGGTTCATTCAAATAAAAATAGTATTTAAAAACAGCTTTCCTTTTATTGTAATATATAAAATAAATGCAACATTTTTATGATTTTTTAGATTACGACAATATTACAGATACAAGGCTCCCTTGGGATAAGGTATCAATATCATTATCATTATCATTATCATTATCATTATCATTATCATTATCATTACCATTATCATTATCATTATCATTATCATTATCATTATCATTATCATTATCATTATCATTATCATTATCATTATCATTATCATTATCATTATCATTTATCATTATCATTATTATTAATATTATCATTATCATTATCATTATCATTATCATTATCATTCTCATTATCATTATCATTATCATTATCATTATCATTATCAATATCATTATCATCATTATCAATATCATTATTATTATCATTATCATCATCATTATCATAATCATTATCATTATCATTATCATTATCATTATCATTATCATTATTATTATCACTATCATTATCATTATTATTATCATTATCATTATCATTATCATTATCATTATCATTATCATAATTATTATCTTTATCATCATTATTATAATTATTATTATGTTTATCAATTTCGCCCTTATTATCATTATCATAATTATTATAATTAATATTATTATTATCAATTTCTTCCTCATTATCATTATCATAATTATTATAATTATCGTTATTTTGATCAATTTCGTCCTTATTAGGTGTGGACTCCTGATATAGTTTTGTATAATAGTGCTGGAGATGGAGAGCAGGGTAGAGAAATGAGAACCTTGATACAAGTAAATAAATATCACATCAAATTAATGAAAGATTGCATGTATAGATTAAAATGACAACAAAAATTGGCCGAGAAAAATTTATTTCATGTACGTCCTACGAGACATGACAGTTGGTGAATTGTTTAAAATGTCTTCTTCCATAATTAGTTAAGTTATTACAATCATATTAGAGTAAAATTGATTTCAAAGTAAAATAAATTTGAGGAAAAGAAGTTTTTATGACGAAATAAACTGCAAAAAGTCTTTCATATCCAATACAATATATGGAAGAAGACATTTAAAACTATTCACAACCTGTCATGTTTCGTGGGACACCCTGTATTTCCCACAGTGACCATTTTTGAGTGGGTACTAAACAGTGCATAAACATTAACAAGCATCACAAAACGCCCAATGTTACAAAACGCCAAATGTTACAAAACGCCCAATGTTACAAAACGCCCAATGTTATAAAACGCCCAATGTTACAAAACGCCCAATGTTACAAAACGTCCAATGAATCTAAACGCCCAATTACCGAACCCTCAATGTTTTTTGGAAAAATAAACTCAAATTTATTTTGAAGTTGCCTTTTGAAAGACATAACAACATAAAGACATAACAACATACAGACAAAACGCCCAACGTTACAAAACGCCTAATTACAAAACGCCCAATTACCGAACCCTTAATGTTTTTGGAAAAATAAACTCAAATTTATTTTGAAGTTGCCCTTTGAAAGACATAACAACAGAAAGACATAATCTATGTTCATGTATAATTTTGGTTACATATTACAAATTTTGCACCGATTAGAGTTGATTCATATATCTGCATTCTTTACCTTATACATTATACATGCAGCTTGATGTGATGCATTTAAAACTATACATATATATATATTCTTGTTTCTAGGTCACCTATGATGGAAATGTTACATTATTAACCCAAGCAATCTATATGAGTAAATGTACCATTGATGTGACCTACTATCCCTTTGATGCTCAGCAATGTGAACTCAAGTTCGCCTCCTGGTCAACTGAGGTCACTAGGGTGAGTGTAAGTAATTTGAGATTTTAATATTGTTCATGTTTTTTTAATTATTATATTATTATAAAGATTTATTCACACACAAAGATATAAATACATATATAAATGGTGTAGTTAAAATTTGTTTAAATAAATTTTTCGGTACCCCTAAACAGTACCCCTAAACAATACCCCTAAACGGTACCCCTAAAACGGTACCCCTAAACAGTACCCCTAAAACGGTACCCCTAAACGGTTCCCCTAAACGGTACCCCTAAACAGTACCCCTAAAACGGTACCCCTAAACATTTCTCCTAAACGGTACCCCTAAACAGTACCCCTAAAACGGTACCCCTAAACCGTAAACGGCACCCCTAAACGGTACCCCCTAAAACGGTACCCCCTAAAACGGTACCCCCTGAAACGGTACCCCTAAAAGCTTATTATTATTAAGAATGAATGTGATATTAACAAATGTTAAGGTTTTTATTTTTACAAATTGGTGTTTTTGATTGCGGTTTCTTAATAAACATGACTTGCGGATTTCTGCTAGAAACGAAAAAGAGAATTATCAGAATTAAACAATTTTCAAGCAACAGCTGCATGCCCGATACACAAGAGTACCCTTTAAAGGAATTGAGCCTTTGCCACAAACTCCGATTTTATAATTACTATATCTATGTAACTCAATGTCAGACCTTATGCATTTCAAATTATGATTTCTTTTAAATCAAATAATCTAAGTTTAAATTATAAAAGGTTTGTATCAAAAAGTTGCAAAGATATAGGAATTGTAAATTTTGAGTTTGCGGCGAAGACTTAATTCCTTGGAAAGATACCATATCGTAAGGTTTTATCACTTTTTTCTCTTTGCTGCATTTTTTTCATAAAGAATTCACAGTTGTAAATTAACAAGTTTAACGAGAGAAAAACAATAATATCTTTCTCATTCTAATTTTATGGCTTTAAGAGTACTATTGCGAATGACACAGGAAACTCTTTAAAAAGAAAGTAACTTGAAATTAAGTCAATACTTTTTAACCGAAGGAAAAGGGGTCAGTTTTCTGAAATATTTAAATCTTTCTTCACTAATTTGTTTTGTCATGTTCTGATAGTGTTTAGGGACTGTCGATCTAAATTTAATTGACATTGATGGCAATTTTGATATAAAGGAATTGAGTCTTTGCCACAAACTCGGATTTTTAAATCCCAATTTCTTTGAAACTAAATGTCGTAGACCGTAGATATTTCAAACTATGAATTCTGGTGGATCAAACAATGTAAGTTTGAAATATGAAAGGTAAACATAATCTGGTTGTTGAGATTTTGGTATTATAAAATAGGAATTTGTGACAAAAACTCAATTCCTTTAAGTGAAATTGATGGCAATGTCGATCTAAATTTAAGTGAAATTGATGGCAATGTCCATCTAAATTTAAGTGAAATTAACGGTAATGTCCATCTAAATTATAAGTGAAATTAATGGTAATGTCCATCAAAATTTAAGTGAAATTAATGGTAATGTCCATCTAAATTTAAGTGAAATTAATGGCAATGTCGATCGAATTCACATCGGTACCCTTTAAAGCGTTGGCTGATCAAGTATTAATTGCGCATTTCTACTGCATGAAGAAACACATATAAAAACACTTTAAATCTAAAAATCTACAATATATTCGACATTATTGATCAAATAAAGGTTTCAACTGGGTATCGTTTTAATTTAGGCATTGCCATCTTTCGAATGGAGGGTCACTTGAAATTATGCTTACAGTCCTTTTAAGAAACTAATAATATCTTTATCCAGGATATGTTATCTTCAGAATTTATTCATGTAAGATTATATATTTCTATATATTTCAGCTGAATATGACGATAGGAAAGATAGATAGGAAAAAGATTTTGAGTCTGTACTCCCCTTCAGGTGGGCTTTCTACACTTTTCTTCAAGATTTTAAATTCACATTTTAAAAAAGGGATTTTTAACTTATTTCAAAAATTAACAAATCGGAGTTCGATTTTTTCCAATTTGTTTGGTTTTATTACAATCTAAAAATACAAAGAAATACGATTAGAAGTTTCTTTATACAATACACTCAATATACAGGAACTACTAGTTTTAGGGAGAAGAAAGAGAGAAGAAAACCTTTTAGAAATTATGATTTTAGCTCTTTAGTTTTTTTATTTTTACTTTTGATTTGTTTAATTCGAAAATTTACTAAACTTGGCCGAATCCAAAAACTTTGACCAAAGACAAAAAAGGTGATTAGCTCATCTGAAGAAAAAGTGAATAGTTTTAACTCAAAATAAGGAACTTGGTTCTTCAACTATAAAGTTCCTAAGTCTGTAAATATTTAACGATAAACTAGAGGTCCCAGATAAAAGTCCAGGGAGTCCAGGGAGTTTTAATATCAACAATCCAGAGGATAAAATGCCATGCGTACGACAGAGATGGTGCTGATTGCACTTTTTCTCAAGACCTCAAATTTCTACCTGCCAGCGTATCTCTATATATATTATCTTTGGTTTTAACTCTAAATAAGGAACTTGTTGCTTCAACTATAAAGTTCCTTGGTCTGTAAATATTTAACGATACAGTCAAAAGTCCAGGGAGTTTTAACTTTAGAACCTATTTTCACACATTAAATTTATATTTGTTTTAATTTTCTATTTAATACTTTTTTGTTGGGCTATGTACATCACGTCTCTCACGTTAATTTATACGGATTTTGTATGTGAGTTATAAATATATGACTGCAAATATGTTGATATACTTAGTTGTAGTTAGTTCTACTTGATTTAGGCGTGTTTGAATTAAAGGAGATATTTGCTATATACTATATATACTATAGTTGTAGTTAGTTCTACGTGATTTAGGCGTGTTTGAATTAAAGAAGATATTTGCTCGACGACATGAAATGCCGGATCCATGCTGCGACGATGCTTTTGCTGATGTCACGTAAGATCATCATTTTTATTATACGAGCCACGGTAAACTGAAGTTCCTATTATACGCAACACGGTAAACTAAAGGTCCTATTATACGAGACACGGTAAACTGAAGGTCCTATTATACGCAACACGGTAAACTAAAGGTCCTACTATACGCAACACGGTAAACTGAAGGTCCTATTATACGAGACACGGTAAACTGAAGGTCCTATTATACGCAACACGGTAAACTAAAGGTCCTATTATACACGCAACACGGTAAACTGAAGGTCCTATTATACGAGACACGGTAAACTGAAGGTCCTATTATACGCAACACGGTAAACTAAAGGTCCTATTATACACAACACTGTAAACTAAAAGTCCTATTATACTAGACACGGTAAACTGAAGGTCCTATTATACGAGACACGACACGGTAAACTAAAGGTTCCATTATACGCAACACGGTAAACTAAAGGTCCTATTATACACAACACGGTAAACTATAGGTCCTATTATACGCAACACGGTAAACTATAGGTCCTATTATACGCAACACGGTAAACTAAAGGTCCTTTTATACACAACACGGTAAACTAATGGTCCTATTATACGCAACACGGTAAACTAAAGGTCCTGGTTGAAAGAACTTTAGAATCCAATAGAAGTAGATTTGTCGTTTTTTCTACAGTTAAGTTCTGAACTTAATAGACATCGAAATATTTGATATAATTATATAACAAGGATATTTTACCTGAATCTACCTGTAATTGTAAAAATTAATAAATAAATACGAAATATGGGTGAACAGCGTTAAAGAGCTCCATACAATTATTTAATAAAAAAAATATCTCCAGCATTCCATTATCAGTAAGTTTAGACAACGAAATTTTATAAATTCTTTCGATATCTCAGAGTTGAACTGTATTTTATACTTTAAAAAAATATTTAGACACATATAAAGTTTTTTACGCTATTTTTGAATGATTTTGATTTTTGAATGAGAGATAAAAATATCACTGAAAACATTGTTATGCAAATAGGATGTTCTTTGTTATGGCTAGTTTTACGTCACTTTCTCACACTCTAATTTATAATCCTTATATTTATGCAACCTTATGTTGTATGATAAGAACTAAAGTTTGAAATCTTGTTTAAAAAATATCGGGGATATATAGAGCTAGAGATCCTTTCCTTAAAGGGACAGTAAAGGAAAAATGAAAGGGGGTATAGGCTGAAAGCTAATCACTTTAGCTTTTAATCGAGACCCTTGAGACGCGTATCTGAAGTCCATAATTCTGTACATAACCATATTCAACAATTAAACAATTCAACAATCCGACCTACGAAAAATGTCCATCCGAACAACGGAAAATGCCCATCCGACCTACGAAAAATGTCCATCCGATCTACGTAAAATGCCCATCCAACCTACGAAAAATGTCCATCCGACCTAGGAAAAGTGCCCGGCGCCGACCTATACTCAATACTCATTTTCGTACAAATTTAAAACAGCTTTATATTAATTCTCGAGTCAGGAACTTCAGATACGCGTCTCAAGGGTCTCGATTAAAAGCTAAAGTGATTAGCTTTCAGCCTATACCCCCTTTCATTTTTCCTTTACTGTCCCTTTAATAAATAAAAAAGCATAATAATTTCAAGAATGTTTTATGAATCTCATGTTTTTTTCAGATACTATTTGGTAATTTGGCGTCGTCCAAAGTTCTTTCTGTTTAATTATATTCAGCCTGCAGTGCTCATCAATATTCTTGCTTTGTAAGTATATTATTACTTATGTTACTAGAAGTTTTCTCGGGGGATATTTTATTATTTACTAGCTGAAGGGTTGCCCTTGGACAAAAATGTTAATTTTTTGTTTGAAAAGCAACAAAAAAGTCAAAAAAAAGTCAAAAAAGTCAAAAAAGTGTGATTTGCGGCAAAAGTGCAAAAGTGTAACTTTTTTTGTGCAACTCTTCTGTATGATGTTTTTTTAATATTTTTTGAAAATTAGTATTTTTTTTGGTACTTCAAAGGCCCAAAAAAAAATCCGCGAACCTTTTTTTCTTTCAAAATCAAAAGTTCAGAAAAACATAAATGTGTAAATAAATTGTTTCTATCGAAATCTAAAATTTTAAAAAGATTGAATCACAGAATCTCAGATAATTTTCAAAATTGTAATGAGAAAATTCGCAATTTTCAGTTCTGGTATAATTTTTACGGAAAAATTGTTTTTTCAATGGTTCCTAAGGTTTCAACTGAACAGCGTTTATCTAATACATTAGAATATACTAAGAAGAAAGGAACCAGAGAATTTAAATAACGTTTTTCAAAAATTAGCTCAGAACTGAAAATTGCGAATATTATTATTACAATTTTGCCAATTTTCTGTGATTCAATCTTAATAAGATTTTAGATTTAGAGAGAAATAATATGAATGCACATTTTTGCTTTTCTGAACTTTTGATTTTGAGAGAAAAAAAAGATTCGCGGATTTTCTTTTGGGCCATTGGAGTACCAAAAAAAATTTGTACAAAAATGGTACAATTTTGCACCAGGCGCCGCAAATCACACTTTTTATTGACTCACCCTGTATGTATATAAGAATGTCTTGTTTTATTATATAGATGTTTCTAGACGTTTTCTCGGGGGATATTTTATTATTTACTAGCTTGGGAACCCAGCAATCCGAAGGTTACTAAGAGTTACTCCCGCCGACCGCCGCTTACCTGCACTTTAAACGGTTTTAACGGGAAACTAAGTTTTCGTTAGTAAAGTCGACCTACTCAACTTGGAATCTTAAAACCAAGCTAAGAACATTCCCGCGGGTCTTCCAAATTCCCCAGCAAAATTTGAAGCAAATCGGTCAAGGGGTTTCTGAGTTATGATTCGAAAAACAAAGAGACAGACAGAAAGACATATAGATGTTACAGGAGGTGCGGAGCGATAGAAAAAAGTAGATTGTAGATTAGACAATTGACATTCTATCAAATTAGAAATTTTCATAAAAAATTTTTTTCGGACCATTGGACAAAAAACTTTCTAAGCAGCGTGAGTATTTAAAAACATATGTTAACATAATTATTCATATCTCTAGTAATTTTGAACGAAAAAAGGCTGGACTAGTGGTAGTTTTTTGTTTAAATATGCTTGTAATAATAGGTAAACAAATGAAAGCCCTAGACTATTTAGAAGGTCGAAGATGATCTTTAACTGTCAATAAATACCGCTTCTTTGTGAATATTATTGTATGAAGTTTACATTTATGTGAGTAATGCTTTACAATGCGTTAAATGTTAGCACTGCAGGACTTCTGCATTGCAGTACTTTAATTTTTGTAAATTGTATAATGCATTCCCCCCCCCCCCACTAAAAGAAATAAGGAGAGATCGAGAGAAATTTATCACAAATTCCCTTGTAAAGTTGAAAAGTTGCATTTTCAAGACTGAACCGACTTTGAAGTGCCTCAAATTATCGACCTCTGGTATCACAGCTTATTGAACTAGTATTGAAATAATATTGAAATAGTATTAAAATGATATTGATAAAGTATTGAAATAATATTGAAATAATATTTTTTTTAGAAATCTAAATATTTATTTTGTAGCAGAGATTAAAATATTACATTTGTATTGCAAGTTTACAACTTTCATAAATGGAAAAACTACATTATTTATTTTCTATATAAATGATTCATATGATAGACACAGATTAGGCTTTGAATGCCAGTGCATTATTTCGCAGCTGACTCCCTCGTCATCCATTGCTGAGAAACAACAGAACTTCCTATAGTTATTAACCAACTGATATTTTATTTGGTTGTCTACTTTTTCATATGCTCTAATTGCGTTGTGTCTAACTGGGCAAACTGTACATTCTTTTTCTTCACAGAAAGTAAAAACTGGGTTTGCAATGTTCACAGGTGGTTTTAGTTCGATTTCAAGTTCAGTTTCAGATTCTGGACCAGCTTTAGTAGTCTCAAGTTCAGGTTCAGACGCAGACTCAGTCTCAGGTTCAGGTTCAGGCGCAGACTCAGCCTCAGGTTCAAGTTCAGGCGCAGACTCAGTATTGGAATAATATTGAAATAATATTGAAATAATATTGAAATAATATTGAAATAATATTGAAATAATATTGAAATAATATTGAAATAATATTGAAATAATGTTGAAATAATATTGAAATAATATTGAAATAATATGCAGAATTGTTTTAAAATAGAGCAAAGAAATTATTGCATTAAAGTATACTGTTCTTAACGTGCAGACTTATCTCTCAGATCGTTGAGATCTCTGATCCAGGATTTCATGTTTAAATTCTAGATTTCACTGGATAGTAATAAATAAAGCAATTGAGTTCCTCGCAAAATTGCAAGGATTTTCAAGATTCGCATTCTTTAATTTATGCAAATATTCTACAGATTATACAGTAGTTTAACAAGATGTAGTATATGGATTACAGGGCGTTCGAAAAAAATCAACTTTTCGACAGAACTATATTTAACTTAAAGGGACTGTAAGCGTAATTTCAAGTGACCTTTCATTTAAAGAAGGGTTTTCCCGATTCACAATGATACCCTTTAAACCTTTGACTGATTAAGGATGTCAGAAATATCCTTATTAATCTACTGAAAATCTTTTAATATTTACTTTTGTAATGGTTTTAACATTTAAACGACGATATTTTCATGAGAGGCTTGTGATGTATCAGCTGTTTCGAGTTCACACAGGAATTTTTAAGAATTCAAGCGGTTTTCGATAAATTTAAGCACAGAGATCTCTGTACTCGATGAACACGCAACAATTTACAGGATACTGATGTGAATCGGGCAATACCCTCTTTGCATGGAGGCATGGAGGGTCCCTAAAAATACGCTAACAGGTCCTTTAAGATTTTTATCATCTTCTTCGAATAAGAATTCTGATTATATTTTCATGATTTTTTCCACAAATACAAATATGCCCTTATCATACTTTACATTATTTTAGATTATTTTAGATCTATTAGGTAATCATACCATACAGCCATTATCCACAAAAGATGAGGCTGTAAAGACGACCTGAGACTATTTAAATATGATGATCCCTTGGTTAAATAATACATTAAGCCTTCTGCCTATGAATTTCAAATGGCTTATTTAAGGGAAGGGATAGTAGAAACTCCATACAGTCGTCTCTGAAGTCTCATCCTTTTTTAGACTGGAGAAAAGAATAACTCCTAACTATAGGAAAAGAATAACTCCTAACTATAGGAAAAGAATAACTCCTAACTATAGGAAAAGAATAAAATTATCCCTTTAAAAAATCCTGTATCTGCCTCTGGCATTAGATAATGTATTTATTATCTACTAGGTTGAAGTTTATGAAGTGTAGTTTAGATGTTATCAGGGCAAATTATATAGGTTTTATAAACCAACTGCTATATCTCTCTCATCTTCTAGGGGGGGGGGGGGGGGGGGGGGGGGGGGGGGGGTTTGATTAGATAGTTTCCAGTGCTTGTGGTTTTTCTTTTGAACTACTAACTGTCGGCCTAACTGTAAAATCCGCAAATTTTCTTTAGCGCTTTTGTATTTGAGAGCAATAAACTAAGTTCT